AAATGTTTTGAGAATGATGAGGGCAACGAATGTACAAATGTGCTTTACATAATTGATGTATGTATGGATTGTGATAAAAGCTGTATGAGCCCCCAATAAAATTATTTTTAAAAAAGGAAATTGGACATTGAACAAGGAAGATTGAAGAAGAATTGATTCATTTGAATTGTGGTGCTGGAGAAGAATATTGAAAGTACCATGAACTGCTAAAAGCAGAAACAAATCTGTCCCAGGAGAGGTAAGGCCAGAGTGCTCCCTAGAGGAAAGAATGGCAAGATTTCATCTCACAAATTTGGACATCTTGTCAGGAGAGGCCAGTCCCTAGCGAAGGACACCATGTTTGCTGAAGTAGAGGGATAGCTTTAAAAAAACAAAAAGGCCCTCAAGGTCAAGGAGCTGGATGGACACAGTGGCTGCCACAATGGGCTCAAGTATGGGAACAATTGTGAGGATGGTGCAGGACCAGGTAGTGTCCTGTCCTGCTGTACATTGGGTTGCTATGGGTCAGAACCAACTTGATGGACCCTAACAGTAGCATGTTCATGAGAGACTTGTTGCTATAGTTTTCCTGTAATGTTTTTGTCTGGTTTCAGTATCAGGTAATACTGGCTTCATAGAATTAATTGGGGAGTATTCCTACGCTCTCAATTTTCTGAAAGAGTTTGTAGAGAACTGGTGTCCTTTCTTCCTTGAATGTTGTATAGAAACCATGAAAGCCCTGAATATCACATCTTAAAAGGCAGCTGGTGGTGAATCCCTCAGAGCTGGGGATCATCCTTAAGGTCCAAGCAGAATAAACTGGGGTCTTCGTTCTATTTATCATGGAAAACAGACATCTCTAATATAATTGTGAACTTGTAAGGGGGATTGGGTCATGTTTTTCTTGGCATCACACATTCTATGTCCTCGGCTCTCATAAATTATCGATCTCTATTCTATATAATTCTTACCTTACATGGTCCCTGCCTCTTCCACATCAGCACCACAGTGTGGGCTTTGATCATATATATACAGTGAACCCTCGCCACTTCGCGCTTCGACTTGCGTGGCTTCACTCTATCGCGGTTTTGCGTAACAGCGCATGCTCTGTCATTACTGCCACTGATTGGCTCATACTGTACACGCTTGATGCCATAAATAATATAACAAATAAAAATGTTTTACTGTATTTTCCCTTTTTCGTTTAATAAACTGGGTAATACGAGTGTAATGGTGACTAAAGGGTGTTTTTTCATGTCCTCTATGCTCTAACTACGAAAATATTTGATTTACAAATAAGGAATCCTACTTCGCGGAATTTCATTTATCACAGTAGGGTCTAGAACCAATTAACCGCGATAAATGAGGGTTCATTGTACTCATTCATTCCTCAAAGTATCACTACAGAAGGATCCTGTGCATGGTTCGAAATGAACAGTAGACATTTGTAACATAGCTTACAGTACAAAATTCAATCTCAGATATAATGTCTCCAAGAACCTCACTGGCAATTCCCCACCATAAAGAAAACAAACCAAACTCACCGCCATTGAGTTGATGCCAACTCATAGTGACCCCACAGGACAAGGTAGAAGTACCCCGGTGAGTTTCTGAGACTATAATCCTTTACAGGAAGAGATAGTCATCTTTCTGCCATGGAGTGGCTGTTGGTTTTGAACTGCTGACATTGCCATTAGTAGCCCAGTGTGTAACCATTATGCTACATATTTCCCACTGTGGCTTGTAGTAATTCATTATGATGATATATTTTATCCTCTTCACCATTTCCCAACTAAAATTAAACAGGAGTTCCTGAATTGGCTCAGTGTTCAATCAACTGCACAAAGATCTGTACTTAGAATGGTTCTTAGGATATAGAATATATATGTAATAATTAGATGAATAAATAAATTAATCCCTTACCATTTCAATTTTTCAAATAAATTATTGAGCAGAATGCTAAAATCAGAGCTCCATAGATATTATGAATATAAACTATACATCAGCCTAACTCACAAATATTTAAAATGTTCAATTAATTTATATTTTTGTGTATTCTATTCAAACATCAATGTATCTTTCATATTTTTAGGCTGTTTATTAGCTACACCATACTTTTTAGAAAGGTCAGTCTCTAACATTTAGTTTATTTTAAAATCATAATTATTCAGAAATAATTCAGTAAAAAAGCAAACATCTTAAATAACAAGGTCAGAAAGACAAGCATTATTGCCTCGTAATTTTATTTGATTAAAAATATCATCCTTGATTCATAACTTATGGTCTGTTCCAACACTTGCCAATTAATTCTAACTAAGATGTATCAACCAGGTGTATTTGTTACATGGATGGAAGAACAGAAGAATCCAAGGGAGAGAGGCCTGAGAATGGACGGCCCCACGGAGACATGCAGAGGTCATTATCGGCGTGTGAGTCTGGGTGAGGCAAACCCTCGGCAGTTACAGATGGTCACTTTAAGCGCTTCCTCCACTTTTTTCATTGTAGTGTATTTGGGGAGGTTCAGGATGTTATAACATGTCAACGATGTTGGGCAATCATTTTCACTGAGACCTTCAGGACAACGAAATACTATCCCAGACTTCTTTATGCCTTTTGCAGGCAGCCTATCATTTCCTGTAAGAAAAACTAGAAAGAAATAGAATCTGATAAAGATATTTTAATTTTTGTTTTTTAAAGGTTTTTTAATAGAATAAAACTTAAAAGGAAGGAAAAATTGAATTATATTTGAAAAATAAATGTTGGATTCTTGTGGAGAAAGAGCTATACAAGGCCATGTAGGCAGAGTGTGGAACAATCATGACTTCGTGATTCCGTTGTCCACGCACCGCCTGGAGTCTATGCCAACTCAGAGGGACCCTGTGGGACAGGCCCCTGAGGGTTTCTGCGAGTGTAACCGTTTATGGGATCGGCTCGTCCAGTCTTCTCCAGTGTAGCTGTTGGTGGTTTCTTTGCTATATTAGTGAATCAGGATCACCATAGACCATATCTTGAATCAATCTCTTTTCGGATCTCCCAAACCCAAACTCACTGCCACAGAGTTGATTCCAACTCACAGAGACCATAAAGGACAGGGTAGAATGGCCGTGAAAGTTTCCAAGACTGGGTAACTCTTTGCAGAATTAGAAAGCCTCATCCTTCTCCCACGGAGTGGCTGGTGGTTTCAAACTGTGGACCTTGGCGCTAGCAGCCCAATGTGTCACTACTACTCCACCAGACACTAAACAAGCTAGTAAGCAGAGATAGGGAACGCAGAGGCTGTGCCATATGGAGCTCGCAAAGGAGTCAGGAAACACTCAGCAGAGATAAGGACCTGCCTGCAAGAGGTGACAGAGAGGATGCTTCCCCTAAGGCTGGTTTGTTGAATGTGCATTTCTAGCCTTTGAAACGGTGAGAAAACACATTTTTGTTTTTTTAAGGCCATGCACTTAAGGTAGTTCCATTATAGAAGAACTTGATAACTAAGACAGTAATAAAATGAGAGGAGGTGAGAGAATACATCAAGGTTGGCAGTTCAGACCAACGAGCCACTCTGTGGGAGAAAGACGAGGCTTTCCGTTCTGATAAATGCTTACGGCCTCAGAAAGTTTGCATAGGGTTGCTCTGAATTGGATTCAATGCAACAGCAGTGGGGCTTTGGTGCTGCATATATATCTACGATAACAAGAAATAAAATCAATAACTTTTAAAGGGTCGACTGGAGTGGAAAAAAAGAAGAGGACATAACTTAAAAACTGTCGATGATGTTCATCATCATCACCACCACCACCACCACCATCATTTTTACCTTATTGGGAAGCAGCTTACGTAAGAGAAAGAAGGTGAAGGATTTGGATTCTAATAATTACTCTACCATGAATACATATTTCACCATTAATAATGATTTTATCACAATGTTTATTTTATATATGAGGGGGCTTCCAGAAGTGCACAGAGAATGGAATTGAAAAATAAGAGAATTTTTGCACAAGCTTTTAAAAGCATATATATACATATATACACATACATACTCAGCGGGTGGGGGCTAGTCCCCTCACCCCTCCATCAGCGTCATTTATTTTTTAAATTTAATACTACATAAAAGTTCATATTTACATGCATCAAAACCCGCAAACTCATTACCATCAGCCAACTTTTATACACAAGCACACATACCTGAATACATATATTTACAGTTCCATCTTTTGATGTAATACTTACAGAGGAATTTTCTCTTCTCGTCCAATGTTAGTTTGTGGAAAGCTTTCCAGAACATGACAATAGTAGGATGTGATTTGTGGTACCCTTGTTGATACCTCGCATTCTTGAGGAAAAGAGAGAGAAACAGGGTTTGTGGAGCGAGGGCTGGGGGAGTACATAGCAGATATTTTGAAAACTGTGAGGCACTTCAGGAATCACTTACATCTTCAAATTCCTCCCAGTCAAAATCAGTATTTCCAGTGACGGCTGACCTTAGTTCTTCAGGCTGGAAAAACTGAATTATTTCCTTGTCACAAACTCTGTAAAATCCTCTCTGGAATTCCGCATATACGTCCTTTATGGAGGTGTTAAAGATGTAATCAACATGCTTAGACACATAGTCCTTCCTGCAGGAAAGCAAGGGGGGAAAGAAAGGAAAGTGGCCAATGACTGTGCTTTGTAAGAAAAAAAAAGGTTCATATTATAGAAGGAAGCATGAAATCTGGACAACCACACCCAGAAACAAACAAACAACCCTCCATTGATATTGTACACCGTGTTTATTGCAGCTCTGCTTACAGTAGCCAAAGGTAGAAACCGCCTTAATGCCTCTCACCAGATGAAAGGATAGACAAAATGTGATCCTTACAGACAGTGGGATATTGCTCAGTCATAGAGAAATGAGGTCCTGGTACATGGTACAACATGAATAAATCCTTGGGAACATTGTGCTGAATGAAATAAGCCAGTCACAAAAATGGCCAATATTGTATGATCCCACTTTTATAAAATGTCTCAAATAGATAGGTGTATGGTGATCTAAGTTTATGGGTGGTTGTCAGGGACTGGTGTCAGGAAGAGAGAAGGAGGAGAGGGTGCTAGGGGGACCCTGAGCATCTTTTGAGGGTGTTGGAGGAAATGGGAAGCCATGCATGATGATGGTTGGACAACGCGAGGGGCGTCGTTAGTATCACAGAACGGAACTTGTGATGACTCCTGAAGCTAAAAGGGATTTGCTACTGGTCTATTTACACAGAGCCCTGGTGGTACAGTGGTTAATCGCTTGGCTGCTAATCAAAGGGAATGTGGTTCGGACCTGCCAGCTCGCTCCCCAGTAGAACAAGATGTGACAGACGGCTTATGTAAAGATGAGAGCCCTGGAAGGACTGTTGGGCAGTTGCCCTATTGGGTCACTATGAGCTGAATTCACTGACAGCAATAGGGGACATGAACCACAATAATGACAATGATAACAATAACAACACTTATTAGAAAAGTCCAGCATCCCAGAGAACATAGTGTATCTCTATTTTCCACATTTAATCTGAAATCACTAAGCGCTAACTGATAGATGATGAACCAGCTCCTGTATTCCTCCTGATGCTTCAACACATGTTTTTAACTCAGAAAGTCACTGTGGTCTAGATTCATATAAGTTTTATACATATATATATGAATTATATATGTGAATTTTATGTGGATTTTTATATATGGGTATTTTTATGACTTTATATCTGAAACACACACACACGCACACACACATATATAATATGGGTTGGACATTGGGCTGTGAATCATAAGGTTGGTGAATTTCACGTTGTTTGAATCCACAATCAATGCTCATGGAAGCATTAGTCTGGAGATCAAAGGAATGCACTGCATTGGGTAAGTCTGCTGCATAAAATCTCTTTAAACATTAAAATTGTCAAAAACCAAGGAGCTTACTTTGAGGACTAAGGTGCACCTGATCCAAACCAGGCACAGTATTTTCAATGACCTCCCGTGCACGCTGGACATTGAATCAGGAAGACCGAAGAAGAATTGATGCATTTAAAATTCAGTGCTGGGAAGGTGTATTGAAAGTACCATGGACTGCCAGAAGAGTAAACAAATCTGTCTTGGAAGAAGTACAGCCAGCATGCTCCTTATGGGCGAAGATGGTGAGACTTCATCAAACATAATTTAGAAATGTGGTCAGGAGAGACCTGTCCCCGCAGAAGGACTTCATGCTTGGTAAAGTAGTAGGGCAGCCAAAGAGAGGAAGACCTTGAACAAGATGGAGTGACACAGAGACTCCAACGGAAGGACGATTGTGAGATTGGCGCAGGACTGGGCCATTCTGTTTCTCATTCTGTGGTTCGTCAGGTCTGTTGCGATGAGTCAGCACCAACTCAAAGGTAGTGAACAACGTAGGGTTTCCTAAACTGTAATTTTTAAGGGAATAAATCACTGGGTCAGTGGATTGCTGATCTTCCGTTAGCAGCTCGGTGACAAAGTGTAACTCTTTCCGGAATAGAAAGCCTCATCCTTTTCCTGCAGTTGACTGATGGTTTCAACTGACCGTGTACTTGGAAGCCCGACAGATAACCGTTAGCCACAGAGCTCCTTCTTCCTGGACCAGTCTAGCGCAATCTAGCTAAACCTCTCAGACCTCCCCTGAAACCAGTAGTGTGTTGATAAAAAGTTAACCATTGGATCTCTGAAAATAAAAGAAAAAACAAGAAAGAGAAAGAGCACGTGTACACTAGAGCTAGCCAGCATTTGCCCATTCCTTGGTGTAAATATTCACACATCAGTAGATGTCAAACTACTAATGCTTCAACAAGCAGCTTTCAAAATGTTTGAAATTTTAATGATCAGCTCTCACAAGCTGGTCGCAGCTGTTTCCAGTGGATCACTATGCACAACACTATTTTCTCAGTTGGTGGTGCTATGGATTAGGCATTAGGCTGCTAACTGTATCCTCAGAGGTTCAAGCATCCCAACTGCTCGGAGGGAGAAAGATGAGGCTTTCTGCTTCAATAACGATATACACTCTCGGAAAACCTACACAGGGTCGCTATGAGTCAGAATCCGTTTGAAAGCAGTGCAACTGGGACTTAGTTAGCATTATAATTGGCTTTAATATTTTTTAGAAGACTCATCCTTACCTGGTAGGATAGACCCCACTGGTACGGAGGTGACTATGACGCATGCTGTCGTTAAGTGCCATATAGTCAGTTCTGACTCACAGGGACAGCAGTGAACACTGCC